GTTGTAGAAGATATTTAGAAGTTGAATTTTTCATTGCCTACGCTAAACGCTCAGATAACTCTACACCAATATTCAGGTAAGTGACTAAGTGTGTTCGTATTCTATATGAGATAAAGTGAGCGAAAAGATGGTATCTTAGAAAGTGAGTTGAAATTACGCTGAAATAACAATTTATCACAATGGGAAAACCATTAGCTTATAAAATAGTGGGTGTCTATATATACAATACTCTTCAAACTGAGCACGCATCCGCCACCAACAGTCTTCACCAAGGAACAGTGAATAGGTACATTCATTATTGTGAAATGAATAAATCATTTGTTGGACACTCATATAAATTGTGGTGATAGTTCAAAAAGTTTACAGTTCAACATAATTCAAACTAAAGGTACCCTTTTGACAGGAAAGCGCTGGAAGTAAGCTCACACAACTCATAGAAAGAAAGAAGGATCAAATTTTACTTTCTTTGCTGATAATGTTAAGAATGTTTGTTCTCAATTCGCAAGATTTTCTGCGAATATAGTCTTTGGATGAAACCACTTCAGACTTCAACGAAACCATTTCAGATTTTAGGGCGGGAAGGAAATGAGGCATGCCAGGTTCCAAATTCATGTTGGGAATCTTAGGAAGGCTCAGCCTACGCATGCGTTTCTTCAATCGTTCGCGTGAACGTGCAAACGGTTTTTTACGTTTTGCAGGCTTCTCTTGTTCTACACCATCTACTTCGCTTACATCGCTTATATCGCTCTCATCGCTGTCATCGCTATCATCGTCTACATCGGCGTCCTACAATAAAATTTCTTTGAAGTATTCAATAAAGTTTCCTGACTTAATGTGTAAATTACTGATACCGACACCTCACGAATCTTATTGTTAGCTTTGCGAAAATGAAATGATTCTGATGGAGCATTTCTATTCCCCTTCATCAAACACAAAAGTTCCACTTCATGTGTAATGCTTTCAATATGAAGATTCAGTACTAATTTTTGGGAAGTTTATTATAAAACCAAAGTTGTCTTTGGATTTTTGTTTTTGAATATGCTCATCATCTACTTTGGTTGCGTACGAAATGCACAAAAAATTTGACCCTTCACATTGCAAGGTTTATCGTTATGTCGTTAATCATAGTTATTTATGCATTATTTACTATTGATTAACAGGGATTTTGCTATTTATCAAATATGTTTGCTTATAATTTTATTTGTTAGTTCTCAATATCGATTCCCACCATTTTGCTTTGTTCAAAAACTTGGCGTTGTTAAAATCGTTTGGTCATGCTGTGCCATACAGGTTTGTTATGCTGATGACCTTATTCGTTTTGGATCAAGGTTTCGATGGTTTTGACGCTTTTTCGCGCCTAAACTCAAACTTGCAACATCAAACCATCAGGCCGGTGGTAATCTCCTCGACCTGGTGGCAGGTCTCGACGGCAGGTCTCCGGCACCTTGCCTTGAGGAACTAATCCCACATTTAGGCCGTCTGAGAACTTTTTACAAGAAAATTCATGGATGAAGATGCCACGGCGATTTCGAAGAAACCCACCTTGAAATCCGTAATTTCAAAATCCTCGTGCAGGAAGGTTTGGATAGGTCAGGAGATACTGCTGGCAATATCGCGAATTGACCTGACGATCCACCCACGCGGACAGGCAGCATAAGGCAATAGTGGTAAAGGCGCGAGCTTCATAAATGTCCGCCCCCCCCCCTTTCGGTGACTTTTGCTCTCTCCCCACGTAAATCGAAACCTATGACATGCCCGTGAACTAACGCCGAGTTGGCAACTTTCCGCGACGATGCCAACTTACCGGCATCTGCGATGCCACCAGATAGAGTAGATTACTGCTTACTACTAGCCCAGATGCCTCCTCGATAAACCATTTTCGAGCTTCCCCGAACTCGCTCAGCCAAAATTTTCAGCAAATAATTCACGGTATCGGCTTTCCACTAGAGGAATTTGATCCAAAGATATCAACATCGACAGTATTGACAGCTGACACAACATTAGTCGTCTATTTCTCACTTTACGGACTCTTCGTATGAAGGTGATATGAGGATGAAATAATTTTCGTTTGAAAACGGACATTAAGACACCGTAACTGAACAGAAGAGGTATTCTAATGTTTGATGTCGCAAGTGGTGCTTTATGTTACTTTCAGGGATTTGAGGATGTCGACATATTATGTCAAAACGAAGACACCACCCATAATAACCTGTATGTCACAGCAAAACTTATGGTGGGCTTCCTTTCGTTATTGTTACGCGAATTGCTCACTTTCTTGTTTTGTTGTTCGCGAGTTGCTTTCTTAGTTGTTATAAGTGCTGATATCGTTATTTTCCAATCTTAAGAAATCATACCTCTGAGTCTGACGGAACGGCAAGCAAGCTTGGAGTAGCTATCGTTGGTAGAGTAAGATTCCTTTTCGAAAGCATAGGAGTCTTCACTGAGATCGATTCCTCCATATCCTCCACGTTCACAAAGGAATATGTTTTCAATCCCTTACTCTGTCCATTAATCTCATTTTCCTTTTCTTTCAACTCTTTTTCCATAGCGGCCCTTCTCATTTGTGCTAGCAATACTTCCGAAATCTCTGCAGGATCACCAGCATCCACCCACTCTCCAGATGCTGCCATCAGCTCTCTGAAAAAATGTCTATTACATTTTGAGGATAGCATTCTTGTGAGAAAAACCTTTTTGCATGACAGTTTTGACAGAGCCACTTTGAACGTGGAGTTCCTCGACGGCATTCATTGCAGAGAAGACATCCACACTTTGCGCATTTGGTGCCGGCATTAAAAATGAGTCCAAGTCTGCTTTGACAATGAAAGCATATACGACCACTTGGTTGGTCCGCTGATCTGAAAAGAAACATAAAATAAGTTTA